CCTAAGGCAAGTTTGGGAATTCCTAGGTGCAGTCGGTTTCTGTTGTCTTTGGATTCCCAACTTTGCCGTCTTGGCTAGACCTCTGTAGGAGGCAACTAAAGGAGAGGAAGGAAAGTCCTTAGAATGGTGAAGAGAACAAGAACGTGCCCTCTCCCAGCTAAAGATGGGGCTAATGACTGCCTCTGCACTGGGACTCCAGACCTACCAAGATGGCTATGGGTATGTTTACCCAGCTGGTTAGGTCCGGGCCAAGGCCTGTAGCCTACCTCTCTAAGCAGTTAAATGGAGTGGCAAAAGGATGGCAACCCTGCTTATGGGCTCTAGCTGCTACTACTCTCCTTGTGCAAGAAGCCGATAAGCTGACTCTAGGGCAGGATCTCAGAGTAGAAGTACCCCACTCTGTGGTCACTTTAATGGACACTAAAGGACATTTTTTGACCCAGCCATGCTCCTTCCAGCCAATGGAAGAGAGACTGAGCATGAATGTGTGGAATCTATAAATAATGTGTACTGTAGCAGACCTGACTTTGAATGACTAGCTTTGGACAGATGCAGACTGGGACTTGTATGTTAATGGAAGCAGTTATGTGATGGCGCAAGTCCTGGAAAAAGCCATCAGTCAGTGAGGTTTCACCTGCAGCCAGTTCGATGCCTGCCAAGGACCAGCGGTACCCCCAGGAATCCTGTCATTTGGAGCAATGCCCTTCGAGGACTTTCAGGTAGACTTCACTGAAATGCCCAGATGTAGAGGAAACAAGTACTTGCTGGTGATGATGTGCACCTACTCTGGATGGGTAGAAACATATCCTACCCACACCGAGAAGGCGCAAGAAGTCACCTGGGCACTCTTGAGAGACATTATACCACAGTTTGGGCTCCTGCTAAGGATTGAGTCAGACAACGGGCCAGCATTCATCTCCAAATTGATCCAGAAGACGACTAACATCCTGGCATCACCTGAAAACTACGCAACCTATCGCCCACAAGGTTCAGGGAAGGTGGAACACATATATAGAGCTATCAAAGCAAGGTTAGGGAAAGTGTGCCAGGAGACAAACTTACAGTGGGTAAGTGCCCTGCCCTTGATGTTACTTAAGATTAAGTGTACTCCTACTAAGAGTACAGGATTCTCACTGCATAAGATCTTATATCATAGGCCACCACCTGGAGCTTGCCAAGATCTCCCTGGGAATTAGGAAAGAAGAATTTAAAAAGCAGCTGCAGGCACTGAGAAAGGTGGCAGAGATTGTGTCAGGAATGAGTGAATGAGAGGTGTCCTGTTAGTTTGTTTTCCCTTGTCCATCCTTTCTCTCCAGGAGCTGTGGTGTGGGTCAAGGATTGGCGCATGTCTCCCCTGAGGGCGAGATGGAAAGGCCCTTACAACATTATCCTGACCACACCTACAGCTGTGAGAGTAGTAGAAATTCCTGCCTGGATTCATTACAGCAGAGTGAAGCCTGCTGTGGAACCAGAGGAGAACCTGCCCCTGCCTAAAAGGAGCCAGAACGAGCAGGACATGAACAATGGTAGCTGATCCTGAGTTCCCATGGCATGGGCTCCACACCACAAGAACTCCTGAATTAGCAAAAATATTGCCCAGAGAAATCATAGCATGGATTAGGTTGCCACTCTGGTTTAAATTTGACAATAGGCTAGCTTTCTTAACAGAAGTAATGCAAATAATAAGCTAAAGGTTTGAATAAATTGTAGGCCTCAAAGCTTAGACAGGGTAAAATATATAGACAGGACCATAAGAGCAGAAATTGGTAAACTCTGCCAGAAAGCAAAACTTACTTAGATACAGGCCTTGCCACTGGTATTGTTAAAAGAGGCCTCTGTAAATTCTCTGTCAATTCTCTGCAATTTAGCAGGAACTCATAAAAGAACTGAGCAAGACTGAACTAAAAAGACAAAAACCCTAGAAAGAGTAGCAAGGAACGTGTTCACTGGAGTAATTAACTGTGTTCTGTTTAGTCTTTTGTGTCTGTACATCCTTTCTCTCTAAAGAAGCAAGGGGACCAAGTCTAGGTCTAGAACTGGTTCCCCTGAAACCAAGGTAGAAAGGACTTTACACCATCATCCTGACCACATGCACAGCAGTGAAGATGGAAGGAATCCTCACCTGGAGTCATCATAGTTGGCTGAATAGAACTTCACTGCCCCTTGGAAAGTAAAGGTAACTTTTAAGACAGTCAACGTGCCCTGCTCTAGCCACATACTGGGAGCTGGCTGGTCAAGCACGGCTGAAGCCTGAGGAAACTCCTCGAAGAACTTATCTTAATTGGACTTTGAACTTTGAGAAAAGAGAGGAAAAATGTCACAGGGAAAAGTAAAACTTATATGTATGTTAGCCCACCACCACGGTACTATTAAGTCCTGATTAGAGAATCCAAGAAAAGCCACAGTCCCTAAAACCTTAGTGCTAAAAAGTAATTAATATCAGCATCTACAGAAACAAGCTGATATTGAGACCTCAAATTAAAAATATATTGAAGTTCAAAAGGGGAGATTGAGAGAGGATACCTGAGAGGGGCGAGGTCTGGGTGAACAGGTCTTCTCAGGGAGACCACGAGGATGCACCTGCAGGGCCCTCTCCATGGTGACTCAGCTCTTGGGAATTTATAGGCTTAACTCCCTGGAACTTGGAAATTTCCAAGTTCTCTGAAATCCTGTAGTTCCGTAGGGGCTGGAGTAGCATCTCCTGCTTGATTTGAACTGGCCAATGGGAAAGGTGCCTGTGGGGTGGAACTCGTTGACTGTCAATAAAAAGGGAAAGACCAAGCCAGTCAGGGAGCATGGCCATTTGGAAATCTTCTATGCCATAAGCTCCCCGCCGATGAATAAAGCCCTTCCTCTTCTAACTATGGTGTTTGGGTGCTCTTTCTCTCCATCGGGCCTCATCTTCCTGCAACAATATAAATCTAAAAATTTGTCAATATATGTATACACTTAAAATGTAGTTTTTAAAAAGTGTACCTAAGAAAAAAAGACCCAAGTGAGAGCCAAAAATAAAAGTCACTTTCGCACTTAACATGCACAACTGTTCAGAGATGGACAAGACAGATGTTTTTCCCTTCTGTGGAAACACTGGGTTACCAAGAGGAAAGTCATTTAAATCCCTAGCCATTAGTGTAACCCTAATCCCTCCTAGAAACTTAGGGGAAAAAAAAATTCATGGCAGTATACTGAAGGAGATAAAGAAATTTTACCCGAAAATATGACTACCTGGTATAAAGAATACTTTGAATTAAAGACCACTGGAGACCAGAAAGTGTTGGAAGGAGCTTTCTCTCTATCTACATAAAACTGGACTGATCAGATCTTTTATAAGATAGAAAGATCAAAGGGGGACAACTGACTCCTTCCCTTCCCCTGAATGGAGCAGTCTAGGCTAAAATCATTTAAAACATAATATCTTGTCTCTCAGGTTAATTTACAAGTCAATCTATTTTCCTCATCTATTCATACTCCCTACCAACCACTGGTTGCACTTATACTCCACATTCTTCTCCCTCCCTTCTAAAAGGCAGGTATAAAGGTATCTGATCATCCCTAAAACATAGGGTAATCATTCCTGTGATTCTCCCCATGGGCATAGTATTTGGAAATAAACATTTCTATTGTTACTCAGCCTTAATTGTGAGTGGACCTATCAGGGAATCAACCAAAGAGGGAAAGTGCAAGTTGCTCCTCACCCCCACAATACCTGTGGGTATCATAGCCTTGCCAGGCACTAAAAGAAATGCTAATTTTGCTTAAAGAACTAAGTCTTCACTTGGAGTTTTTATTTGTATTTCAAGACTCATAACACAATACAAATGGAATCTGACTATGACACCAGTTAAAGTTTTCTTAAGCATGAACCCTGTCCTGGCACCAGGCTGAAACTGAGCACTCCTATATTTATTAGGAAAGTCACTCCACCTCTAGGGATCTCAGTTTCCACATCTGTCCATGGCAAAAATAATAGTATCTCCCTCATAGGTTATTCTAAGAACTGAAGACCTGTTTCACGTAAAATATTTAGCACAGTGCCTACCACCTAAATATTCAATGTGTGCTAATTGCTATTATTATTTTCCAACGGACCAGTTACCTGTTTCTTCTCCCCTCCAAGTTTATATAGCCAGCCCCATATATAGCTAATCCCCCAAATGAGGGATTTAAATATTTTAATATTTTAACATTCAAAAACAAAAGCAGTTCTGCCTCCTCTCAGCCCCAGGTAGAAAAAGTTAAAAAAGAGTACTCAGGTGAGATAATTTTGAACTGGGTAAATAGTGTCCCAGGCTTAAGTGGGTTGATAGGATTCTAGACAGTAGAAGCCCCTTTGCTTTAACGGTGCCACCTTCCCATACCATGCCAAGGAACCTGGTCCAAATGACATGATGTGGAAAGAAAAAGACCCAGTAAAAGGTAAGCCTGGCCACCACAAGGGATATAATTATTGTTCATAGAAAAGGACCCTGAAGAGAAGAGAATCAGGAGAGGAAAGGCTTAAAGGCTGGAGTTTCTGCTTTGCCCATCAGGCAGCATCGAAGTCTTAAACTAACAATAGGTAGAACACTGCTATCTATTTCGTCAGCTAAGAAAACACATACACCTCTCTGTGAAGTGAGCAGGGGAAATTTCATTATCCTTACTAGATAGATGAGTCAAGCCAAGGCTCAGAGAGGTTAAATAATTTGTCCAAAGTCATCAGCTAGTAGCTGGGGGTATCAGCACTCTAATTCAAATCTTCGGGCTTTAAAATCCATGCTCTTTCCATTAAAACATACTGAGCTTTATATTGGCTTCAGTTAGCCAGGGCTACATCAGTTAGGACTATTCCCCAGTCCCAGACAACAGAAAGAAGAAAATGGGATTTGGAATAGAAAAGAGCTGGTGTTGGGAAAGAAGAAAGTAGGATTGAAAAAGATGAAAAAGAAAAAGAAGCAGGCGCAGCTTTAACTAGGGGCTGGCTATAAACAGGCGCCAACTGGCCTAGCAGTGCCACCCACCTCTTTGGTTTCTCCTCCTGGCTGAGCAGGGCCAAGACGAATCTGCTCCGCTCCGCTTGGGTTTGAGAGATGATGTCGCCCTCAAAACTCGCCCAAACTCGTACACTGGGGAGCTGGGGCTGGGGCGAAGGTCTGGAAAGCGATCGGGGAAGTGACTTCTGTTGGGGAATGGGGAGTTGAGAGGATAGGGCTTTCCAGAAAGGCGGTTAAAATGCAGCTAGTGTAAGAAGCTGGAGTAAAAATACAAGTGAGGTAACGTCTGGGGAGCTGGAAGGAGCAGAGGTCGGAGGACCCAGGCAGAGAGAAACCGCAGGCGCTCACCAGGCGCTGGGTGGTGTCGCGTGTGGGGACGCTGGCGTAAACCACCTCTTCCCCCTCCACCGCCTCATAAAGTCTGGTTCTTAGGAGAAGAGTTCCGTTTGACTGAAAGGAGGGTTTAGACTAGGGTGACCAGACGTCCAGCTTTTGGCAGAACAGTCCCGCTTTTCAACAATTTGTCCCACCTCCCTGGCGTTTTTAAAAAGTTCCGATTTTTGGAAAGAAGGGGCGGGAGAACAAGAAGGGAATACACGGTTTTCGGCTGCCATGTGGCTATATCGCCAGAATATGAGTTTTATATTATTTTTGTTAATTTTATAATGCTAAACTGTAACAATAACAAATAATTGCTGAGAAGTGATTATCCAGAACAGCTTATCAAAGTTTGCATTGTTGTCAGGCCATGCCCTGCCCCGTCCCTGCCCACCCCCATGTTGTCCCGCCTTACTGATGTTAAAATCTGGTCACCCTAGTTTAGACTAAAAAAGAGAACAAGGATCTCGGAGTGGGAAGGGGGCGTCAAAGAGCACCCAGAGAAGGCTGAGGGGGTGTGCCTGGGCTCCCAGCTGAACCCCAAGAGGGAAATTGCGGTTCCCAGCCTCTCCTAAGTTTTCTCCTTACCTTGGGTACCATGATATAGTCCATGACCTCAATTCCTACCTCTTGAAGCTCCGAAGGCTGCCGCCATTCCCGCTGCCGGGCCCAAACCCGGTTTTAGTCCCTGCCTTCCCTATCCTTACGCAAACTATCCTCATCTGATCCTCGCTGAGGCTCCTATCGCGACACTTCGCCCGTAGCTGCACTGGCCATCTTGCTTCCTGGCAAAGTCCCTTTTCTCCTGGAAGCGATTTTGGTTTGACCCAGTTTTTAGTCTCAGACCAAGTACTGCCACCCTTCTAAAACTCTTCATGCTAGAAGAGCTATGAGCACAGATATCGCTCCACTGTGATGTTACAGTGATGGCCCCCTGCAGAGATAGCAGGCTGTCCCATGCTGGCAACTGGATTTCTGAAAAGCTTCCCCGCTGTGAGAACTTTGGTGAGTCACTGTAGAATATTTTGTGAAATATGGAGAGGCATATCCTCCTTTCTATTCCTTCTTTATATTCCTGCTGCCATCAACCTAGTTAAGACCAGGACTACTGTGGTGGCCTCATAACTTTTGCCATCACAGATGTGGGAAGAGGACCAAGGAGGGGCCCACTGGATCAGCTCTCAGATGAGGCAGGAATGGATGTGTTACTGGATGGAAATGGCTCCACCTGCCTGTCACTGTCAGTCAATATGTAGAGAGAGGGATAGATCTACTAAACTTTGTCAGAAGGCTGGGATTCTGGAGAACAGTGAGAGTAGCTTCTCTAAGACTGTTAAGTTTTTCCATTTTTTAAATTAGTTTTATATATAAAAATTCAAAGCAAAGAGAACACCAATCCCTATTCCAAATAATAATCAACATAACTCAGTGACCTATTACAACATTTTAATTTAAAAGTTAATTTTTTAAATCAATCCACCTAAACAACTCAAGATAGGCATTTTTAGGAGGGAAGTTAAATATACAAAAAATTAAGATGGGAGACAGGGAGTGAAGGTCAGGCAGAACCTAAACTGACCAAACCAGCTGTATCATGTCTGCCCCAGCCTGTCTGATTCCATCTTATTCTCACTACATGTGCTTTCAGATGCAGGCTCTCAGTGATGTTCTCTGTATCAGATTTATGATGAGAAAAAAGAACAATTGGGGTGTTGGAAAACCAGAGTTCTAATTCTCTCAGGTCTTCCACTAACTTGCTGTGTGACCTTGAGCAAATGATAGCACCTCTCTGAGTTAACAAAACTTACAATGAGGGTGTTGGCCACTATGTCTTGGGTCATTTCTAGCTCTATAACAATGCTATGGTTTGCAATCTCCTGTTCCCTACAAAGCAATTTCTTTTTTGAGTGCCTATGTCACTTGCTAGCAAATCTACTCACTTAAAATATTCTGCCTTCTTCCCTAGCCTAAAAGCTCCACCCTGAATCTATGGCCCTATTTTCTCTTGAACCCTTGAACAGGTCCATCATTTTTAGCCCTTTTACTGCCAACTATGTCAGAAAAATAGTCTATTAATCAGGTGGCGCCTGTGGCTCAAAGGAGTAGGACCCTGGCCTCGTATGCTGGAGGTGGTGGGTTCAAACCTAGGCCTGGCAAAAAAAAACCGGAAAAAAACAATAGTCTACTAATCATCTCCTTCACTTCATAACAAATTCACTCCTCACCAACCTCTACCCTCAGTTGGATCATTTATATAATCCTCAACTCCAAATGCTCTTCTCAGTGCTCATTCTCTATTGTTTTTATTTATAGCATTAAACATTGTTGATTCATATTTTTTTGTGTGTTCTTTCTTCCCTTAGCCTTTATAATAAAGCATACTCACTGCCTGCCGCCCTAACTGCTCTTTCTGTCTCCCTCCCAGCTATGCTTTGTCTCTTTTTAGCTATCTCCCTGTCTTCTATTCCCCATTCCTCTTTTATTTTCTTTCCCTTAATAATCTTGATCTTGTACACAGATTCAACTCTTACTCCATGCTCAGAGACTTCCAACTTTACATCATATGACCCTGACCTTTCTCCTGAACTTTCAGCTACCCCCTGAGAGTTCCATTTATGTGTTCCTGCTACAACATTAAGATATCATAAACAAAACCAAACTTAACTTTCACACTATCCCCCATGCTCCCTGCATTCTCCAACCTCCATCACCTGCTCTTTTTCAAGTTTTCCCTATCTCTACTAATGAGACTACCCAGTTGCTGCTGTTTGAAATGGTGATAATTATGTATAGACCCGGTTAAAATTTTTTATTAAAATAAGTATGTCACACCAGGTTAAAATTTTGGTTCTGCTGTTTTCTGATGATACATGACTCTGGGATTTAGTTTTCTAATCTGTAAACCCATTCTCGTAAAGTTCTTGTGTAAAATCTAAGATGTAATGTATGTGAGATGCCAGGAAAATCATAAAGGCACAAGAAATATTGTTTTTTTTCCCTTCCTCAGCTTGATTATTGAACATTTCTGTTTTCTCTCTCAGATGATTACCTTGCTACTTAGCTCCCTAATAAAATAGAAGCCATCAGAAGGTAAAGTCCATGTCTTCCCACCACCAAATCTACTTGCTGCCCTGCATATGAACCCATATACTCTGCCTTCAATGAGCTAACTCTTCTTGAGCCTTCCTAAGCAACCTTTCCACTTGTCCACTTGATTTCATCCTTCCTAGCCTGGTCAGTTGCCTCCTTTCTTTTATTACTAAATCTTTTCACTTTACCATATCATTTCCATCAGCACAAAAACATGCCATAATAGTTATGATCTTTAAAAAACTTTTACATGATCCACATTCCTATCACCTAACACACACCCCAATTCTCTGTTGTAATTTATAGCAAAAGCCCTCAAAAGATTTGTCCATTTTCTGTCACCATTCTTTTCCTCTCTTCATATTCTCTCTTGAAAGTACTCTAATCAGGCTTTGCCCCCAACTCTACCATCAATCTCCTCATTGCAAAATTCATTGGTCATCCTTTGACCTCTTCATATCCCCTCAGGAGCATTTGATCACTCTCTTCCCCTCCACCCATTTCCTTCCCTTGGCTCCAGGGACATCACTCTCTCTTCTGATTATCTGATCTCTCTTTACCAATCTTATTTGCTGTTTCCCCTTGTCTTACCTCTCTTAACATATTGAGATACTGCCAGGTCTCAGACCTTGGTCCTCTTTTCTATTTACACTTATTCCCTGGGTGCTGTCATGCAGTCTCACAGCTTTACATGGAATCTATTTGTAGACAACTCCCAAAATGTTATCTCTAAGTCAAAATATGTTCTCTGAGTTCTAAACTTATATAATATCCAACAGTTTATTGAAATGTCTATTTATATGTCTTAGAGGCATCTCAAACTTACCATGTCCAAAACAGAACTTTTGATTTCTAATTGTATCTTCAAATCTGCTCTTTTTAATAATAGTATCTTTCCCATCTCAGGAATTTGCACCTCCATCCTTTCAGATTGTCTTGGTCTACATGTGTTGCTATAACAAAATACCCATAACTAGATAATTTGTACAGAACAGAAATTTATTTGTCAGATTTCTGGAAGCTGGAAGTTCAAGATCAAGGTACCAGCAGGTTCAGTCTGGAGAGGGCTTCCTTCTCTGCTTCCAAGAAGGTGGTTTAACAGCTGTGTCTTCTGGAAGGGAAGAATACTATGTGAATTGGGAATTAAATTTTGGCATGAATTATGAAGGAGTCACAAAGATTCAATCATAGCACAATTGTTCAGGCCAAAAGCCTTGGAGCCCTCCCCTTTCTCTTGTAATCTCATACCTGACTCGTTATCAAATCCTATCAGCTCTTTCTTCAAAATATTTTTGGAGCCTAACCACTTCTCACACCTGTACCTTGACCCAAGAATCTCTTATCTCTTACCTAGATTATTATAACAGTCTCATAACTGGGCTCCATGTATATGCCCTGGTACCTCTAGAACAGTGGTTCTCAACTTACCTAATGCCTTCTAATGCTGTGACCCTTTAGTACAGTTCCTCATGTTGTGGTGACCCCCAACCATAAAATTATTTTTGGTGCTACTTCATAACTGTAATTTTGCTACTGTTATGAATCATAATGTAAATATCTGATATGCAGGATGTATTTTCATTGTTACAAAGGTGTCCCGACCCACAGGTTGAGAAACGCTGCTCTAGAATCTCTACATAGAATCTTCTTTGCCACTAGTATCAAAAATCCAGCATGTAGTCACTCCTTTGTTTAAAACTGTCTAATGCCACCCCATATCAGAGTAAAGTCAAATCCTAATCATAGACTGTGAAGTCCTACACATGACCTAAGCCCCCTACAGCCTGACTACATATTTATCACCCTTTTATCTCTCTACCCAAGTCATATTGGCCTCTTTGCTTTTACTCAAATATACCAGACATGCTCCTGCCTCAGGAATATCCTCTGCCTAGAATGCTCTTTCCCCAATATCTATATATTCACTCCCTCATATCTGTTCAGTCCCTGATCATATGCCACTCTATTAGAGAATCCTTATATTAGCACCTTATATAAAATAAAACATCACTGTTTCTTCTCAAGCATTCTCTACATTCCTAACTCTTTTTCTGCATAGTTATCAATACCACCTGATATATTAAAAATATATTTGTTTTTTCATTTATTGTCTCCTCCTTTAGTATGTCTGCTCCATGAAGACAGGGACTTTTTGCTGGATCTCCAGAGTTTAGAATGGTGCTGGCATACAGTAAGTACTCAGTAAATATTTGTTGAATAAATGAATTTTCAGGGGTATACCAGATTTCCCCCACCATTAACATCAGTAATTCTTTATAATATTTGTTTCTTGGCTCGGCGCCTATAGCTCAACCGGCTAAGGCGCCAGCCACATACACCTAAGGTGGCGGGTTCGAATCCCCAGCCCGGACCCGCCAAACGACAATGACGGCTGCAACCAAAAAATAGGCGGGCATTGTGGCGGGCGCCTGTGGTCCCAGCTACTTGGGAGGTGGAGGCAAGAGACTCGCTTGAGCCCAGGAGTTGGAGGTTGCTGTGAGCTGTAATGCCACGGCACTCTACCCAGGGGGACAGCTTGAGGCTCTGTCTCAAAAAAAAAAAAAA